ATATGATGTATAACAATAACTTAAATTAAATTAAAACAACAAAAAGTGATTTTTCCATCTACAATTCACTTTTGTAAGCGATTTGAAAAAAATTAATAAAAACAATTTTTTTTTTTAAATTTATGATGGAAATATATTGAGTAAATCATAATAATTTATTTTTAACTGTTGTAAAATAAATATACATTTTGTATTTTTGAAATAAAGAATTATGTCATCATCAAATGTTATGCAACTTGATTCATTTTTCATCTAGTATAATATTCTAACTAAAATCTAGACATTTATATATATTATTATTTATTTTGGCAGAGAGCATGTTAACTATTTGACTTTTGCCAAAAATTAGAATCACATACATTCATATTTGTTTAAGTTTTGCTGAAACCGATTGTTTTCATGTTTGTTTCTATTTTTTACTTGTGCTACAATAGGTGTCTAGTTAAATTGTTCGAGCTTACTTATGAATTTTGTAAGATACATTGTCTTGGATCTGTTCCCAATTAAGAAATCCTTGGTTAGCGAGTATAAAAAATTTAAACGAAGTATTACATTTGTAAATTTTAAGTAATGAGTTGACCTACTTTTGAAGTATTTTCAAACAGCATAATTTTTATTGTTAGTATTCTCATTTTACATACATATTTTTTTTTATTAAATATATTTATGTAAGCAAAAAACTGTGGATTTTAATCAATGAGCAATTGTTTTTTTAGTATAAGATTAATAAACAACGCAACGTTAAAAAAATTATTATCTTTGAGAATTATAAATTAGAGAGTGGATGAAAAATATAATTACTATAAGTATTATGTAATTTTAAGTTTTGAAAAAAATAAAAATAAATTCAAGTAAATAAATAAGTTTGAATATTTCTAGTACATAGCTTCTAGTAGAAAATATAGAGTATAATATAATAATATATAATATTAAAACAATTTGTATTACAAATTACAATCACCAATTGTCAATAATTATATACTATACATTATACACATAATATTATATAAACAATAAGCTTTTAATAAGAACAATATTAATATATAATGTTATTATTTTTATATTTACTTTATTTATAAATGTAATAGAATGTCAACTCAAAACTGTTGACTAGGGAATAAACGTTGAAATTTAAAATGTTGAATAAATAAAAATAGATTAAATGAATAATGTATTTTTTGTATGAAATATAACTATATAATATTAAAATGGTTTTTAATGAACATTTATCGGTCTGTTGAAGTTTCCTTTTAGCACTTTTCAATGAATATACATTGTCCCTAAATGTTCACCCATTATCAACAAAACTGCTGGATCGTCTTTAAGCTAAATGGATAAACTTCTTCACTTGAACTAGTCTAATTCAGTTTAAACAACTTTCATAGAATTGAATACACTCACGACCGTAGGAAAGTTTTTACCACTAATTTGAAAGAGGTTGGTAACTTTCTAAAATTAATCGAAGAATACAGTTTACTCAACAAGCTAAAAATACAATTAAAAAATAACGTCGATCAACAGTAAAAAGTTTTATAACATTTAAATTTCTTATCAAATCACATTAAACTAGTAGGTAAACGTTTTTATATATTTAAGAGTTAAGTGTATTTGAACAAATTTATAGAAAAACATAAGATTAAGTTACCGATAAATCAAGTATTAATAATATATTAATAGAGTACCTATATCTGTTCAAAATGAACCTTGATTTCTTGCACTTAAGCTGAAGTTATATATTTTAAAAATTACCTAGTTAACAAGATCATTATTTATGTATAACCTGTGAACAAATAATTATTAAAAAACTTAACAAAATGTTATTTGTATCATTAGTTTATATTTTGTGTAAGTTGTTTTTATTGTATCAACACTTTTTAAAATGTCTCGCAATACATTAAATCGGTATTATGTATTCTGATTTTTTAAGCAGGAATGTACTTTTATTTTAAGTATTATAATACAAAAAATACGCAATTTAGATTCTGAGCAGTGTGGAGATGCTTTTTAATTTTGTAGTAATTTTTTATATCGAACAAATAATATAATGAATAATAGCCATTTTAATATTTATACAAAAGTAAAAGTGAAGCAAAAAAAAAAAAAATAAAAGATAAATAATATCACTCAATCTTTTAAAATTGTAGACTACTCTGTAACATAATCATTTAATCATCTTACTATATATTAAATGTGTGTTCAATTTATTTCAAAATATAAGTATGATTTTTTATTCTTTACGGTAACAAAATACTATATACTTCGTGTGTTCTAGTGGTTTAACAAAAGTTTAAAATTTAAAATCATTTTTGTTCTTAATGGTTTTATTTTACAACAAAGCGTCGTTTAGTATTATTTAATTTTATCATTGTGAATAGCTAGGTTTTATAATGCAAATAAAATCACTCGAAAGCTCTACAACATAGGTACTATATAATTGTATTATTATAAATGAAAGATTTATTACTTTTGAGATTCTGAGCGGGGTGATGAATGTATTGGTTTAAATGGCATATTTTTTGCTGTTCTCTGACGTCACTTTTAGGATCAGTATATTGAGGGTTGTTTCTGGTACCATATTTGATCTAATTGGTGGTACTTGTGAGGACTTCAAAAGTAAAAATTCCTAGTACCTACTTATTCAAATTTTTGGAAAAACGGGAACACCAGTTTTGAGAAATTTGATTTCGTTTGCTTGCTGTGATGAAAAAAGTATAAACGACCACAAAGACTTTACATATTCCAAAAAAAAAAATTACACAAACATTTTCTAGATATGAATTAATTTTAAAATACTTTGACACTTTAGACATTTGAAGTAATTGTTTGCTTTTTTTTAAGTACCTATATCTAAGAGTGTTTTGTTAAAATGTATGTTTCACTCTTACTTTAAACCATACCTATTACCTATTACCTATATCATTAACTTTAGGTACCGTAAACAGATGATTCTGTTTTGCCTTAAAATTGGAAAAAACAAAAATAGTAAAATTATAATACAATATAATATAGTAGTAGCCAATAGTGAATGTAAATACATACGTCATACATGTATAATAAATGTTGGTTATCCGGTGATGGGGTTATTTTTATTTAGGATATATTTTATTATTTTACTTATTGTTTTAATATTCAAAATAATATTTTTACTGTCTAGGCTAGAAGTAAACTGTTAAAAGGAACGACATGAATGGAACTGATCACCAATCTGTGGATAGGTCCGCCAATTTTAAATTATTTTATTAAATATTTTTCCTACAAATATTTATTAATAATACATTAAGTATTTATACTTAGTACATACCAAGCATAATTTATTTATTTTTTAGCTAATTATATTCTTATTATACACTTCAAAATATAAAATGAACATTTCATATTTGCCTAATGCCAAAATAAAAAAAACATTTTAGTAAAAATGTTGTATGCATTACTAATGAGTTTTCAGTGAAATAGCAATTTTAAAGTTTTGACGTTTAGTCATCGTTTTTATTAACTTACCAACCCATATTATACGAAGTTATGAATACTACAGCACAATATTACGTACCTACTAAAATATATGGTTTCACATTTTTTGCGTTCCTGGTATGGAATTCTTTTAGTCTATATTAAATCTGTAAAGCGATCCTTGAAAAATATCAAAGATGAAATATATATTGCAATGTCCGTTTAGAAGTGATATTACCTGGAATTCAGATGGAAATATAATTTCTATGTTTTGTATAGCCAATAGATATTTATGTAAAGTAGGTCATTAGCCAAAGCACTATATATGTACTTCTAAAATAATTTTATTTATAAATATATATATTATGTGACTATGATTTTCGAGCACATCGTGTATACATAGTATAAGACACAAGATAAAAAGATAATATATTTCGATTATGTGCCTCCGAGAAACTAGGAAATATAACCGAATTTAGCGGAGGGTATATATTTTTTTAACTCACTTTGGGCCTTCTTTTACCGGCCCTTCGCTTCAACTCCGTTCAAAAGCCTTATTGTAAATTGAGTTTTGTATTATACACCCTCTTTATATACGTCCGAACGCCGTCCAGAGGAATAACGTTATACTGAGACAATCGCTTATTCCACCTCCGCTATCATCTCGAAGTAATCTCCCGACTACCTACTATATTGACGTTTTGTACGCAACACGCTCCGTATTGTTTAACCCTTATGAGCTGAGCTATTACTATTATTCTTTTCCTTAGTACCATTATTATTATTATTATTATATTATTTTAAATCTAATGTGTTCAGAATCCGATGCTCTTGTCGGTAATGCCAAACCAGCAAAAAAAAAAACTTAAACTCGTTGTAAATTATCAAACAAGCTTGTTTTATCAACTAAAAAATAATTCGTCACCAAAATGGTGTAAACGTTTATGGATATACACCAGTTTTAAAAAGAGCGAAAGCCTCGATGATGTTTTCTTAATTGCAACAATTATGAATAATTTTATTTCTTTAAAGGTAAAAATAATTTAATTAAAGATTTTCTTATAGAAATAAGGAACTTAATATTAAATATTGTTAATTTTGTATTGTACTTTTAGATGATTTTTAATTATTAATATTTTGGTTAGAATAATGAAAATATATTTCTATAGAAAGGTATTGAAAATAAATTAAATAATATAATTCAATTTAATTATCATTTTACAAATTTAGTTCTTAAAGATAAATTTTATTGCTAGGTACTTGGTTTAAATAAGTGTCAGGTATAATTTGTTATAGTTCTACACTGTATATTTTGCTTAAAGATGCTGCAAAACTTACGTTTATTATCATTGTATTTTACACATTAATATGACTACTTGAGATAAAATAAAAACAATTAATTGCAGATCATTCGAATGATATTATAATACTTGTGTTGACATTTTAGATGTATTTTTCATAAACATCAAGAAAAGAACATTTTTTAATATGTATCGTATATTTTATTCGATCACACAAAGCAAAACATCCAATGCTTAAAAATAATTGCTGATTTAGTCTCTTTCAGACTTAGCCTTAAGCTTGTCACGGGGCAAGATTCCTATTGACGACGACGGAACGCCAAAAAAGAGTTCCACTAAAAAAAAACCTCTTACGAAACCTCTAGATGCTTCTATTATTTTAATATTGTTCCACCGCATAACGTGGGTTTCTTTATGGCTCATCCTACTCACATTGACTCTGCGACATATTTGTGTGTGCATTTGCCCGACTCCACCTGGGGATAGGCTTTGGCAACCTGCAATCTGCATAGTCGTTCGATGCTTCGCCTAGGGACCATGCGGGGAATCCTCTAGGGCAATTCGAATGTACTTCAACCCCACTGGGTTTGTACTCGCTCGCCCAATTATTTGTAAACAATAAAATTTATAATATATATTATTATGTTTGGTACTACCTATGTGGGTTATGATGATTTGAAAATTAAAGTGATTCTTGATTAATATTAATCCATCAACATTTTGTAATCTGTAAATATCGACAGACTATCTATAATAAATACTAGATTCAATATTAAATAATAAATTAAAAAATTTTGTAAAACCATTTATATTTACTCTTATTCTTAGTATAAACTTTATACATGTCAATATCTCAGAATTGATTCGACTGAAATTTTGTTTATTTTGTGTACATTTACAATTTCAAAACCATCACCTGCTTGGAAACTAACTGTAAAAAAGGTTGGTTCTCATTTGAAAACATTATGTACCTACTTTGTATCTCTACTAGACACTCGTTAAATGGTATGAAAATATAAAAATCGAAAATGCGGTCCTCGAGTATTCAGTATTTAAAAATTCCAAACAACATAATACTAAGAACACGAATAAATTCATTTTTAAAGAAAAAATTTGGATGAGCATATGTTTAGTGAATCACCATGTTATGACGTGTCATTTATATTATGTTAGTAACTCAATTTTTTTTTATGAATATTTTATTTTTTCTTAATATGTAATCGCCGTAACAAATTTAAAAGCACGTCTTTGCATGTGAGACTTATAGAGACAGAGATAACGAAACTTCTTGAATAAATTTGTCGAGGATCGTAAACATCCTAATGTCGTATCTAACAGCTTTGATGCTAACGGGAAACAATAATCATTTTATAATCATAGACTATTAATTAACTATCATTAATGTTATTATAATAGTTATATTTCGTTTAAGTTATCGTATATTATGAATTGTCCACAGTTTACAGATATTTGCGTGGATTTGTTTCTTTACTTATAACCATTATGATTGTGCTTAAATTACATAAGTAATCAAAAATTAATTTATGGTGATATTTATTAATATTATAATAGGTACATGACAACCGTGTAACTAATAACTAATAAGCTTTTACCATAGCTCTATATACAAATACATACCAAATATATTTGTTTATCTAATGTAAACATACACCCAGGCAATGTAAATTCAAAATTGCATTAATTAACTACAGGTTGGACTATTGTTATTAGTTTGGTGAAGCAAGAAACATTACATAACGATGGCGATGTATTTATCGATGACATTATGGCTGCTATTTTGTGTCAATGTTGCTTGTTACAATTATTATTATATCTTCGTATCAGTGTGTGACATTTATATTGTTGAATGCCACTGAATAAATTACCAAATTAGGTATAAAATACAATGAAATATTAATTATATAATAGATATACCTTATATACCTAGGTTTAAATATTTAAATTTTATTAATTTAGAAAAACATGGCATAGTGAATTATAAAAAAAATAATGTTTTAAGTATATTCATTCAGACATTTCAAAATGAATTTTGCTAATATTTGATTTTAAAATGCTTTAGTCTAAACTTTCATTAAATTTTGATAAATAATTGACATGTGACTAAATTTTTATATTATATTGTGTCACGAGAATTTTTAAACAAATTTGGACTTTTGAGGAATATTTCTAAGGATTATCTTTCGAACACTGTTTATGAAAAAAAGAACACTTGTTATAGCACTTAATAAATACTTTTCAAATAAAAAATAAATACAACCTATAGGATCGAAATGATTCACTGACGGACAAAGACCTTTCACTGTTATGTGCTAGGACCAAACATAGTGGCACAGCTACTATTACAGGATGACGGTTTTTTTTTTTGTAGAGGCCCGAGAAATTACATCTATTTGTAATGGCGAGTAATGTAGAGGTGGGGAATAAAAAGTTAACGAATAAACTCGAGCAAAAAGTACTCCGTGGAAGAAGAGAGATAAAAAACAAACTTATTTATTTGATTACTTCTTCCTGTCAAATTTTCTCCAAAGTACTTTGCCAAAAGGACGATTACACGGCAAACCGGGTGTGGGGTTTTTAAAAGCGCGAAAAAAGTATAACGAAAAAAAAAAATGAAGTAAAAAATAAAAATAAAATAATAAGAAACGAGTCACGAAAAACTTTTTTAATTTCCCTTTGGCGACAATAAAAGTATTTAGTGTGTTTGAAAACCAGAGGGCAGTTGTAGCCTATACTCGCTCATAAACGAGGTATGGACCTGTATAAAGCCTCATGGAACAAATTACAAACCCTTCTAAGACTTAACATGCAAATCATAATATTATGTATAGTTGACGAGTGGAAAAAGTGTTCATGGAACGAATACAAAAAATTAATAATATCGGTCTTCCCCCAGTGAAATGTTGTCGAACCCCCTTTGGCTGAATCTTGTTTGAACGCTAACCAGACTACATATTAAATTATTATTTTTTTTTGTTCCGTCGCCGTTTATTAAACTAAGAAAGGAAGAAATTATTAATTTTTTTTACTTGCCTCTTCTCATACTTCAGGGCCTTCGGAGCTCAAAATTGATTATTAATAAAAATCCATTAATTTACGGTAGAACGGTAACATTGTGAAAATGACAAAATAAAACGAACAGAGGGAAATATTATATTATTCAAACGTACAATTTTATACTTTACCGCGGTTTATTGAACTAAAAATGGGCATATAACCAAACGGACATTTTTTGATTGTTTTTAAACCTACGCAGTACGCACATATCTGTTCCATCCATTTAATGTAATAAATATATTAAAAAATTAGAATGATATTGGACAAAAAAATATATGAACCAATCACGTGATCCCGTTAACTTCGGCTGAAAAATATAATTTGATAGATTTTTTATAGTTTTAAATTGATTATAATCCGAATCCGTTGTACATTTAACAAACTAGTTAGGAATAACAATAGAAGTCAGTGTTTATTCGTTAATTCTTCAATTAACTAAAAGATATTTAACCATTTTTTTTTAACGAAAATAGAAAAATTAACATTTTAGTTAAGTTGGTAAGTAAATACTAAATATTATGCATTAATATTATCATTATTATTGATTATTGTACCTAATATTTACTATTCTTAGATCATGATAATAGTACAGACTATGTGAAGACAGATAGCTTACTCGTCCGAAAACAATGGAAAAAATAATAAGTTTCATATAGTTGGCGATAATAGTTTATATTATTCTATTTAATATAGGTAATATAAATAAATAATTAATATTTTAAACAACATTAATGACAAAAACAATTGTAATTATAATATTACTTTTGGTTGATAACATTTTCGTTTCTCAAATAACTAACATGTTTATTTAAAAAAAAAAAAATAACTTATACAACGTTTATCAATAGCTTATATAAATCATAATTAGTTTTAAGTCTTAACACTAAAGCATTGAATTTATATGTGACCAACAATTTTCATTAAATGCTTTAAACTCAAAGCCAGTGTATTGCAATAGTCACAACCACGTTTTACGGTCCTTTTGCAAAATATCTCTGTATTGGTAAATCGTAAATGACTTACAAACATTACCAACAACCTGACCACAATTCAATGACAGTTAATGGACACTCCAGTATAACTGTAAATGACATTGTGTCAAAATGAACAAACATCGGTAGGTATTAAAACTGTAAACGTTATTTTAGGCGATTAATCAATAAAAATGTATCATATCATTATAATTGAATTTTATTTTTATAGATGTTTTCAAGAATTATGTTTTTATAATAATATACGTATCTCGTTGTTCGATGATAAAAAAAATCGTAATTTTCATCTAAGAATTACTTTTAAATTTGCATAAAATATTTTGCATTTTCAGCTCTAAACTTAATTACTCCACGAGGACAACATTACACAGTTTTGACTTGAGAGTTTCGAAGGAAGACGCATTCCAGAACTGTAGCTGATGTCGTCATGTGATCAGATTAGATGGATTTTGATAACTGCGTGCTCTTATTCCCTCGGCGGCTGACAAGTTTAATCAAAAACTTATACAATATTATACTAATATATATTTAACTTGACGTGTTAGGCACATATTGTAAGATTAAACAAGTACTTTGTTTTAGCATATCAGTGTATGAAAAAAAATATTTTAAATAATAATTGAACCTATATTGGTAGTAACTTTGTTCATTTACTTATAAATAGAATTTCACCTATGTAGGTATTTTAAGTATTGCTTTAAAAACAACCAAATGATGTGTTAGTGTGGGATTATGGGAAATATCATATTCTACACTGGGAATGTGGGAATTAATTTGACGATAGGTGTATGTAATAATTTTTTAGTTAAAAAGAAGAATACATAATATATTAATAATTGTAAAATGAAAAATTTTTCTCGAGTTTGATGATTGTTTAACAAACCCAAAAGAGTATTAATCAAACCTAACTGAAATTCATTTAAAACAAAAAAATCCAATAATTGTGCTTCTGAGGTTTCAAAAATAACGCTTCGTTAAACTTCATCGCACGGTTATGCTTCCAGAAAGTCAAATTCGAATAAAACGCTGGAAAAGTTTTCAACTCCGCTAGTTAAAACCTCGGATACACAGAAGAAATGTAACTTAAATGATTCGCACCACCGGTCGTCATGTATATTATTATAACTTTTTGAATCATAAAAAAATGTGTCTGTTTTGAAATTCAAATAACCTAAATTGAACAGCTCCTCAACCAATGTATATATTGTATTCGAAATAAAATATAATACTATATAAAAAACCTTTACATTAGGTGTATATTATAAATATTTATTTTTGAATTCGTGAATGTATATAGATGAATGAACATATTAGTCTATTATTACCTATATAATAATATAAAGAGTATATTATAATATAATAGTAGAAATGTAGAAATGTAGAATAGCAATTAATGTTTGTTTAATGATTTCAAATATTAGAAAATACATAATATTATATCTT